GGCCCAAAGGGCTTTTCATACAAGGTTTTTGGGCTATTTTGAGCCGAAGGGTATATATGTACATATATATATATAATTATATATATATATATATATATAAGGAATTTTGGGTTTGGGCTGATTGTTGCACTTGGCAATCATTTCTTTGCCTGGCCCTCCCTGTCAGTTCCATCACCTTCCTCGAGAGTGAGTGCGCGCGGATTGCTGACGACACTGGCCGCATGGTGGGTCTGTTCCACGAGATGTACCACCGGCCGGGAACCTACTGGTTTGCACCCTGAACCCTAAACCCTTTTTTTGGGGTACCCTAAACCTCGAGCCCTGAAGCCGACACCCTAAGTGAATGGAGGGCAGCGTGTCTTACAAGGGAGTTCGCAAAACCTGACCTAAGCTACAAGAAATATGGTTGAAGGCAAAGCGGTTGACGACAAAGAAACCGAAAAAAACAAAACAAAAACATGAAGGACAAAAAAAAGCCTAGACCGCAAATCATAAACCCTTAGCCATGTCCCTTGACTCCCTCTGCCAAGCAGCTGCTTGTTTTTTTTTTTGGCGGTGCCCAGGCTAAACGACTACATGGACAAAGTTCACAAGCAGGACTGGTTTCCGTACCTCATAAGGGGGTTTACGAAAATAGGGGACCCCTGCAAAATAGTAGGGTTCCCCTATAGTGGGGATCCCAATAAGGTACCCCTAATTTCGGAAACCCTCATCAGGGTTTAGGTTTAGGGTTTAGGGACGGGGGGTGTAAGGGACTCCCTATTAATTAAGGCTTATTGAGGCCTTAATATTTGGCTGCTTCTTAGTAGGGAATGTTGGGGGTTGGTTTTAGGGTTTTAGGGTTTAGGGTTTAGGGTTTAGGGTTTAGGGTTTTAGGGTTTTAGGGTTTTAGGGAGGGTTCAGGGTTGAGGGTTTTAGGGTTTTGGGTTTAGGGTTTAGGGTTTTCCCCGCGGATGGGGTACTAAGATGATCCCCCCCCCCCCCCCCCCCTGTGGTGTGGTTGGGGGTTGGTTTAGGGTTAGGGTTAGGGTTCGGGTTTTAGGGTTAGGGTTTAAAGGTTTAAGACTTAAGGTTTAGGGTTTAGGGTTAGGGTTTAGGTTTTAGGTTTAGGGTTTAGGGGTTTAGGGTTTAGGGTTTTAGGGACCGTAGAGTAGACTTGGGGGGGGGGGGGGATACCATGGGGGGGGGGGGGGCCCAGGACGCTCGACGCTGAACCATATATATGGTACCCCCCCCCCCCCCCCCAAAGATCTAGGTATTTTCGTGGTTTTGGGATCTGTTTTAGGGTTTTAGGGTGGTTTATTGAGCTGTTTACTTGTAAGTGAGGATAGTGTATAAATGAGTCTTATCTTTGAGAAATGATAACTCTTTTTGGGGGTCCTTTGGGAATGATGAGATGAACACCCACATACTTGAGAGTAAGTCGGGCTTTTGGAAGGTCCAGAACCCGTAACATAGTGAAAGGAGATTTGCTCACAGTATTCTCGCGTCTTCAGGAATACAGTGTTTCTCCACATCACCTTATGCACTTGAATACTTCCTGGGCTTATGGTATCTTGCTTATCTTTCCAATCGACGTCCTATACTCATCTGCACCTATCCGGGCCCATGCAAATCTTCAACTTCACATTGCCTCCGGGCCCACGCAAATCTTCAACCTGACATCGCCAAATCATGAAAATACCTAGATCTTTGGGGGGGGGGGGGGGTAGCATATATATATATATATATCCTTTAAAGGATTATACAGGGCCCTCATTCCCTCATTCTCTACTAAGAAACCAGCCAGTAAGAAGGGAATATGTTGGTCCTTGCATCTCCCTCGCTGCGTATGATACACTTACGACCCAGGATGGCTCACGCGACAGTTTGCGGCAGCCGTCACGGTTTAGGGTTTAGGGCTTTTAGGGTGATCTTCTTTCGCGTGTTGAAGGTATGAATGCATGTGCGCATGTTCGTTCGTACACGAATGTACATGGGCCTTGAATGCTGAGTACCTATGCTCATTGACACTACGTATGCTGAGTATAGAGTACTCGACACGTCTTGCGAGGCATGCGACGGCAAACATTCAGCCACGGTGAAGAGGTCTACACCGTAAAACCCCAAACCCTAAACCCTATAGCGAGAGAGAGACAGACAGAGAGACAGACAGAGAGAGAGAGAGAGAGAAAGAGAGAGAGAGAGAGATCGAGCTGGGGAGAGATGGAGGGAGGAACCCTTGACTGAAAGAAAAGAATAGACTCTCAGACTCATAGGGTTTGGGGTTTGGGGTTTAGGGTTTGGGGTTTAGGGTTTGGGGTTTAGGGTTTAGGGCTTCAGGTAGACATTCCTCCAGGACAAGCAGCGGGAAGCCGATCGCAAGAAGGCCAAACTGAAGGCTGCCCTGCCAGGACAATTTTTTCAGTTCCTTAAGGGAGGGGGATTTAGGTTTAGGGTTTAGGGTTTAGGGATTGGGGTTTAGGGATTGGGGTTTAGGGTTTAGGGCTTAGGGCTTAAGGCTTAGGGCTTAGGGCTTAGGGTTTAGGGTGACCCTACAAGGCTATAGGTGCATTTAGAGTACCTCAAGGTTTCGGGCTTTAAGGCTTCCAGTAGACGCCACTCTTATGTTTTACGGTTTACGGTAGGCCCTTCTTGCGGGTTGCTCAAGGGTTTAGGGCGGGGATTAGGGCTCAAGGGCGTGTACTTATAATATCTGAAATGGGGCCATAGCACATTGCCCTGAAGACACCTAGTCTATGCATGTGGCTCCTGGTCTGGGGGCTTTTGGGGTTTTAGGCTAGGGTGAAGAGTGCTTTGCTTAGAGGGCTTGGGGTTAAGCCCTAAACCCTAAACCGTAAACCCTAAACCCTAAACCCCCCCCCCCCCCTACGCAAGCTGAAGAGAGCACGCGCCGAGGCCATTCAAGAAGAAGCTCTCAAGGCGCTTGGGCAGACGCAAGAAGAGGAGGAGGATGAGTAGGCCCCAGGTAGGCCCTTGGGGTTTAGGATTTAGGGTTTGGGGTTTGGGGTTTAGGGTTTCGGGTTTAGGGTTTAGGGTTTAGGGTAGACCGTCTGGGATCTGGAAAATGTTGCCCTTTGTTTTTGGGTTTAAGAGGATCTGAGAGGTTCCAAGGGCCTGCCCAGTTACTGAGCTACTAACTGCTCAAGAACCCCCCCAAAAAAAAGGAAAAAACGAACATTGTTCCTTACAAGGGTCATATAGGGATGATTATCTTTAGTTTTTTGGGGTGGGCTCTTAGCAGTTGCGTGGTCTTAGACTTAGGATATTCACAGAGCTGGCAGCAGAGCAGTCCGTGTCTCACTGGCCTCGACGGTCCTCAAAGAGGACTTAGATGCCGATCTCGTGCAGGAACCAAGGACAGTCTAAGGTGGGTAGTTTCCCTTACAAGAACCTTGTAAGAGGTTTATGCACGGGCTTTTGGGTTCAGGAGTATACTGCTTCTAGCAGTCTTGTATTTAATACCGGTGCCTTAATGATTTGAATGGGGTTCTGGAGGTTAATATCGAATAGTTATCTAGTGACGATAAGGGAATTCTATGAGTATTCTTCCGACCCCTATACTGGTTAGTGCTTTTGGATAATTTGAAATATCCCTTCTTTCCCTTAGTAAGGCAACCCATTCATAAACTTTCAAAGGGCTTTAAAGCATCACTCAGTATAGTAGTTTCCCTTCTAAGAGTCATAAGAGGTTGATACAAACTCTCTACCGTTTATAGCAATCGTATATACACAGTGAGTGCCCCACCTGTGACTTTCCTTGAATGAAGTGGCATGGCATTCCTTACTGACTACCTTCTTAGTCGGGAATTTCGGGAATGAGGTACCTGATTCTATCTCACTCTATCACCCTCCTCAGGCATTTGAAGGGGTACCTGAGTCCCGAAGTCTTTTCTGAGAAGCAGTAAGATTCAGCATGGTAAAAAAGAAACTGCCAGCAGTACCCTGTGGGGAAGAGAGAGAGAGAGAGAGAGAGAGAGAGAGAGAGAGAGACGGAGTCCCCGAGAGACAGACACGCGCAAACACACACATAGACACAGACTCTCTCTCTCTCTCTCTCTCACTTCACAGTTTGTGCAAGCCCTAGGCCCTATCCTAGAAATGCCCACACCGCCCCAAAGATATCCTGTGATTTGGAGGTGCGCAACTAGGGTTAGGGCTTGGGTTTAAAGTTTAGGTTCTGCCTTGCCTATGATGCTTTCACTTTGGTAAAGCTAGATACTTGGTACTCCCGGCTCCCAATTCCGACACCACGTACGCCAATGACCCAGCTCTCCAGCACCAGGGCCATTAGGGTTTAGGGTAATTTAGGGCACATCGTGGCAATATGCGCCGCGGCGAAACTCGAGTTGTAAACTGACTCCATCCGTAGCCGACTATGATTTACTTAATAGGAGAAAATATGGAAATAGGTAATCCCCCTTACAAAGCCCTTTAAGGAATTATGTCGGGTGCAGTACTGAGCTTCCGAATCCGCCAAAAGAGATAGTTCTTGAAGGTGTGACAAGACTTTGGGGTTAGGGTTTAGGGTTTGGGGTTTGCGGTTTGGGGTTTAGGGTTTATGGTTTAGGGTCACCTACTGCTTTCACAGGTAAGGGTCGAGGGTTTCTTCGGTTTTGTACAAGCCTAAGCCCCAAGACCCTGTAAACCAAAAGCTGAAAAGCCCTAGAGGCACCACATACTGCAACTAGACATCATAATCCCTATAAAGCCTCCTAAAGCCCTGTAAACCCCAAAAACGCCTGAAAGCCCTAATGTCTAAAACCTATACATCCCTAGTCCCTACAAACACTCTAAAACCCTCTAAGCCCCACAGCATCCTAAATCCCCTAACCAAACCTCCCCCACCCCCTCCACCCCACCACCCCCACCCTAAACGCTAAACCCTAAACCCTAAACGCTGAAACCCTTAAACCCCAAAACCCGCCTAAAACCCTAAGACCCTAAAACCCTAAAACCCTAAACCAAACTACCCCCCCCCCTGCCTAGCTGCTCAATAGGTGGAGGCGAAGCAGCTGGAGATCCTGGCGGCTCTCACCACCTTCAGCGAGTCACTGAAGAAGACCACCCGGGACCTACAGAGCTCAGGGGTTTAGGGTTTAGGGTTTAGGGTTTAGGGTTTAGGGTTTGACATGGCCTTAGGGAGAGTAAGCCGCCGGAGTCCTGCGACCTTGCTGCGTGCAGAGTCAAGCCGCAGAAGTTTTTTGTTGCCATACATCCTAGTTCAGGGTTTAGGGTTTAGGGTTTAGGGTTTAGGGCTCATGCAGGGCTTAGGGCTTAGGGACCGGAATGAAAGGGTTGAAGGGGGGGAGGGTCTCCTCAAGGATTTCGGTCACCTTCTCTACTACCTCAAGCCCTTTCCATGGCTTTTGGGCTTAGGAATCAGGAGTTAGGGTTTGGGGCTGGGTCGGGGCCTTTTAGGGTTTCTAGACCACTTGGCTGCTTGCAGGAAGTCATCCAAAGACGCCGAGCTCGCAGAAGGGTCAAGAAGAAGTTCAGCTTCTCCAACATGGACGAGCCTCCCATCTTTCTTTCAGACATGGGCAGCCTTGTGTTTAAGCTTTTAGCTTCGAAGTGCAGAAACCATGCAATGTAGCACCCTCGGCCCCCACCACCTCACAATTCTGAACCAGTGCACGCCATGCTGATTAAAGGGTTGAGGGGTTGGGTTTGGCGGTTTAGGGTTTAGGGTTTTGAAAGCAAGGTTTTCATCTGGAGGGTCCTTGCCCTGAAAAAGAGCTGTCCCTAAGCCCTTTCACAGCCTTAACCCCCTAAACTCCTAAGCCCCAGACTTGAACGCCTTCGCCGAAACCCCCGGACCCCTCATTCCTTCAAGCCTCAGCCTAACCCTGTATGCCCAAGAATACTCCCTAAGCCACGTCCCATACTGGCCCTAAACCCTAAACCCTAAACCCTAAACCCTAAACCCTAAATAAACCTTAAACTCTAAGCCCTGCACTGGCCTACCGACCCGACCGGCCTTATGAGAACTTTGTTGACAACCCTTTGCCCACCAGTATATACATATGATCATATGCTGTATGTGCAACTGTATGTGTATATTCTACATCTATGTATATCTGATATACATACATTGCTATGTATACACATGTATACCCTGTCTCTAGACAGATCAAGCGATCGAAGGATGCGGAAGGGTAGGTAGTGAGATAGGCCGATAGTTGCAAACAGATGCCATATTTCCGCGCCCTAAACCCTAAACCCTAAACCCTAAACTATGAATACTGCTTTAGGCATTCTCGGTGTTCTCCCCTACGAGACCCGCCTCTGCCCTCAAGCCGAGGGTGCGCTTCGTGGTCAAGCTTTCCGGCAGCAGATAGCCGGTTTAGGGTTTAGGGTTTAGGGTTTAGGGTTTAGGGGTTCAGGGGTTTAGGGGTCTAGGGGTTTAGGGGTTTAGGGGTGTAGGGGTGTAGGGGTTCAGGGGTTCAGGGGTTTAGGGGTTTAGGGGTTTAGGGGTTTAGGGGTTTAGGGGTTTAGGGGTTTAGGGGTTTAGGGGGTTAGGGGTTTAGGGGTTTAGGGGGTTTAGGGGTTTAGGGGGTTTAGGGGGTTAGGGTTTAGGGGTTTAGGGGTTTAGGGTTTAGGGGTTTAGGGGGTTAGGGGTTTTTAGGGGTTTTAGGGGTTAGGGTTAAGGGGTTAGGGGGTTAGGGGGTTAGGGGGTTAGGGGGTTAGGGGTTTAGGGGTTTAGGGGTTTAGGGGTTTAGGGGTTTAGGGGTTTAGGGGTTTAGGGGTTTAGGGGTTTAGGGGTTTAGGGGTTTAGGGGGTTGTTAGGATGTAATAGTTTAGGGTCTGGGCATCTTTCTTGCAGGGTATTCAAATGGGAGAGCCTCAAGGGTTTCATGTGGAATTGATCGCCTCCCTTTAGCTCCACAGACGTCTGTCTACAGACAAATTCAACGGGTGGCAGCCAATGTTATCCTCCTTTTCTTACTGTTGGCCAGCAGGGAATGGGGTAATGAGGTACCCTATACATTCCCTTAAAGGGTATATATGTACATACATATGTATATATATATATATATATATAAATATAATTGGGCTCTAATTCCCTCATTCCCTGCTAACCAAGAGCAAGTTTTCTCGGATGTTAAGCTGTCTTGGTATCACGCTGTGCCGGGTTGTATCGTGATGCGGTGGCTTCCTGATGGATGCCGTTATGTTTTTCGCTACTGCAACAGCTTCGGGAAAGCGCAAACTCTCCAGTACACCACAGTATCGGAACTTCTGGGCGATGCCACACGCACACACGCTAAGGCCTCTACCCGAAACCTGAAACCTAGACACTATTCCGATGCCCTTGACCTCAAATGTTGAAACCCGAAAAATCCCTAGGCCCCTAAGTCTCCACCTCCTCAGGGACGGCGAAGAGGAGGTCGCTGAAAACAACAACCCTGCGGCAAACATCCAGACGTCCTCTGCCGACGCTTGGGCCGTGAAGGGTTTGCTGGTGCATAGGGTTTTGGGCTTACGCGGGCTTGGGTGTTCAGCGGTTGGGGCATAAAGTTTGCTGTGGCACAATGTGCACAAGAAGGCTCTAAACTCCTTCCATGCTGAGCCCCCAAACCCTTGGTTGAAGGCTCGAGCCCTCTTCAGGAAACATGGCTTTACAAGGTTGATCAAGATTGATATCCCTAGTGCATGGCATGCGCCTGATGGATCACTTCTAAAATAATGGACTCAAGTTCTTCGTGCTCCGCCACTTGGCCACTTACTTAGGGCAAGCGCACACGAGTTTCAATATTTAGGGTTTGGGGTTTAAGGTTTGCATGTAGGGATTGCAGTTCAAGGTTGAGGGTTCTGAGCACCGTTGCTGCAAATCTCACCCCGCCCCCCCCCCCCCTTCCCCCCCCAACGTCAAATCCTCCCCCCACCAAAGCCCTTAACCCTGAATCCTCAAACCCTCACAGAGTTTTAGGGTTTAGGGTTCAGGGTTCAGGGTTTAGGGTTTAGGGTTTAGCCGATATGTCCATCTCTTGGCCGAGGAGGTCGATTCCATCAAGGGCCACCGCGCCGGGGAGCTCTTGACACAGTGGCTTGGGTTGAGGGTTAAGGGGGTTTAGGGTTTAGGCTTTAGGGTTGAGACAGTGGCTTTGCGAGCGAAGTCTGAGAGACCAGTGGGGCAGGGGTCTCTAGGAGTTCATGGTTTCGGGTTTAGGTTTAGGGTTTAGGGTGTAGTGTTTCGGGTTTAGGGAGGTTTAGGATGCAGGGCATTTGAACTGAGAGGCTTTGGGTGGGGGGGGGGTTCAGGTTGTGAGGTTTGGGGGTTTTTGGCGTATGGAAGTAGGTTGAAGCATTAGGTCTTCTGTGCAGGGTGTAGATGTCAGGGCTTGACCTGCAACCCCCAATCCTACGAGACATACTGATGATATGCGGGTTCCGAAAATGGGGGGGGTACCCTGTTGGGCCTTTTGGGGGTCCCTGTATGGGACTCTATTCGATCGGGGGTATAAAAGGGGTACCCCTATTTTGGGGGAAAATATTCATCTACTGAACCCTAAGCCCTAAATTACTAAACCCTCAACCCGAAACCCTAAACCCTGAAACTTAAACCGCATTTAACCCTCCAACTCCAAATTTCCCCTTGGCCGTCCTGGCCCAGTCTTCTCTCCACTCTCCACAGCCCTAGGGTTTAGGGTTTAGGGTTTAGGGTTTAGGGTTTAGGGTTTAGGGTTTAGGGTTTAGGGTTTAGGGTTTAGGGTTTAGGGTTTAGGGTTTAGGGAAGTCAACTCAACGCTAAGAACAGGCATGCACCCCGTCACCTCTTAGAAGCCCAAACGCATACCGTTGAAACCGTAAACCCCCCCACCCCACCCCACACCCTCCTATACCATCCCTAAGCCCCTCTGAGCCCCTGAAGCCCTAAGCCTTCTAAACCGGAAACCCCGAAACCCCAAACCCTAAACCCTAAACCCTATACCCTATGCCTATACCCCAATCCTTAGCCCTAAACCCCTCAACCCCTCAACCCTAAACCCCTAAAAGTCCTCGTAAAAGAAGCCCGCCCCTGAACCGAAAGCTGCAAAAAGTTGAGGATCTCCGGGTTACAGAATAGTCGGGGGCTCGGAATCCCACACTTTCGGGGCTTCGTGGAGTTTTAGGGGGTTTTGAGTTAAAGGGGTTTTGGGTTGAAGGGTTTAGGGTTCAAGGGGTTTATGGTTTAGGGTTTAGGGCTTAGGGCTTATAGGGTTTAGGGTTTAGGATTTAGGGTTTATAGGGTATAGGGTTTAGGGTTTAGGGCCTAAGGGTCTTGGGTTTTGGGGTTTAGGGTTTTGGGCCTAGGCGTCTAGGGTCTCAGGGGTCTAGCGGTTCAGGCGTGTAGGTGTTCAGGGGTGTATTCAGCTTTTACAGCCCTCCTGCACATTGCGGATGAATACACCCTGGGCCCTGAACCCTATCCCCAAACCCTACCCTAAACCCCAATCCCTAAACCCCGAAAACCCAATCCCGCACGAAGCCGAAGCCCAAATCCCTTCGTGCGACTGGGGTTACATTATGAGGGGCATGCTATCATAATTTGCGTTACTTAATAGCTGAGTAGGCAACCGTGAACCCTTCTGGGGTATACATCATCCTAGCATGATTGACAGGTTCAACTTTTTTGGCCCAGGATACTCAGCAACTAAGAACATGTGCTTGCAGATGTCAGCCTGGGTGCTTAGTTCGATGCCGAGAAATTGAAGAAGAGTGTTTTGCAGACATTTTTTGCAAAAAGATATTGCAGTACCTTAGATAAGATGTTTTGTTTACATTGTCATGGTGGTCATGGACGTGCTTGAATAAGACCCTAGACAACAAGGAGGAGAGAAACGACAATTCGTTTTGAAACCTACACCCCAAATCTCTAGCCACTGAAACCCCTCGAGTCCCTAAACCCCGTAAACTCCCGAATCCTCAAGTCCCTGAACCCCAAAACCCAAAACCCTAAACCCTAAACCCTCAACCCTAAACCCTAAACCCTAAACCCTAAACCCTAAACCCTAAACCCTAAACCCTAAACCCTAAACCCTAAACCCTAAACCCTAAACCCTAAACCCTAAACCCTAAACCCTAAACCCTAAACCCTAAACCCAACCCTCGGAAACCCTCAACCCTCAGCACCCTGAATCCTTTCACTTCCTCCCAGACATGAACGAGCTGGTGCGCGACGCGCACCTCCACAAGCAGACCCTCGAAGTGCATGAAAAGGCGGACAGTTCTTGGGCGTTCGGTAAACCTGAACCCGACAACCCTAAACCTCCAAACTTCTAAACCCTAACCCTACGTAATTGAATTCTCTGGTTGAGGGTCTGGCCCAGAATGCCGCCAGAAGCCCCCAACCACCTTCTTTTTGGCCCCAAGCCCCTACTACGAAGGGCCCTGTAACCTTTTTATGGGTAGTTTGGGCGGGGGTTTCGGGATTAGGGTTCAGGGGGGGAAGGGGGGGATCGAAGGGTCCCTTACCTCCTTTAAGCACTTCTGAAGTATGGGCCCTTGCGTCGTACAGGGTTTTTAAGGGTTCCCCATTCAAGGTCCCGTACTAACAGGCCATGTAACCAGGTTTAGGGTTTAGGGTTTGGGGTTTGGGGTTTGGGGTTTAGGGTTTAGGGTTTAGGGTTTCGGGAACCTCAACAATGCGCCCTCTGCAGCAAAGCAGGGCCCAACAGCCTGCCTGCTTCAGCAGGACACAGAGCAGGCCCTTATTTCCTTTTCTTTAGGGTTTAGGTTCCCTTGTAACCACCTTGAAAACAACATGGGCACCTTTTGTAATTTCTAGCCCTAAACCCTAAACCCTAAACCCTAAACCCTAGACCCTGTTTTATTCCTGGGTCACGGTTGGGTCTGGTGTTTCAACCCTGGGAGGCCTTGTCTTTTCTGGAGGGGGCCATGGAGGCGGGAACTTCGGGGGTTCGAGGATTCAGAGTTTCAAGGGTTTAGGGTTTGGGGTTTCAAGGCGTTACGGGTTAGGGTTTAGGGTTTATGGAGTTTAGGGTTTGGGGCTTGGGGTTTGGGGTTTAGGGTTAGGGTTTAGGGTTTAGGGTTAGGGTTTAGGGTTCACGCTTTAGGGCTTCAAGGGTTTCAAAGGCTTCAAGGGTTTCAAGGGGTTCGAGAGTTTCCAGGGTTTGGGTTTAGGGGTTAGGATTTTTTGGGTTTGGGGGTTTTAGGGTGTAGGGGTTTCAATTTAGGGTTCAGGGGTGTTGTGGTTTAGGGGTTTGTGGTTTAAGGGCTTCCGGGTCATGGAAGAACCCAGGCCCCAAAGATATGAACCCTCCCAGAACAAAGGGGAATGGCCCGGCCTTTGCATTGGCTAAACCCTTTACCGTTTCCCGAAACCCCCCTGTCGCAGGACCACGCCCATGAATGTATATACCAGGGTGGTATACCCTCTTAGAGTTTTTACGTTGCCCCGGCGGGGTTGGGTTTTAGGTTTTGCGGGGGGGGAGGGGGGGGGTCGGTTAGACCTTATTTTGCGGCTTGTCAGTCGGGTTGCCTGGCGATTTGCCCGGCGACCGCATGGCGGAGACACTCACAGTCCTAAACCCTAAACCCTAAACCCTAAACCCTAAACCCTAAACCCTAAACAGGAGCAACACTAATGCTAGTTTCGTCTAGTACTACGACTGATGCTAGCTGCAACACTTACGATGACTATTGCTATTCCCACACAGAGACGGCGTCTGGAACTGTTTTTACGTGCATATATGCGGGGGGGGGGGGGGGGGGGGGGCTGGGAGGGAGGGGTACCCCTACTATATACAACCACGCCTATTTCTAAAACCCTTACGAGTATAGTACTAGTATCACTATCACTACTAGTGCTATGATCATGAGAAGCACAGACGCAGATGTGCCAAGGGGCGGCGAAAAACAATCAACAACCGAGCGAGTTGTGTCCTAGTTGTGTCCTGTCCGAGTCTGAACTGCACACCCCCTTCCCCCTTCCCCCCCCCCCCTCCCTTCCCACCCTTGCCCCCTTCCCTTCCCCCCCTTCCCACCTTCCCCCCCTTCCCCTATGGTGGCTTTCGCTGAGGGGCTAGAACACTCGTCATACGATACCCCAAAGTTAAGGCCCTTGTGACTTGTGACTTTACCTGCTAGGAGCCCTTGGCTGCAAGCCATATTCACAGTAGCCTTGTAGCATAAGTAAGTCTACTTCTATCTGCCGGGCGGGCTCCTCCTGTATTTAGCCCTAAGCCCGAGCCCTATACCCTAAACCCTAAACCCTATACCAGAGCATCCCAAGGCCGCAGAGAAGGGGGAAGATGCCCCGGAGGCGGACAAGGAGAGGATGGGATGCGGTTTAAGGGTTTTAGGGTTTAGGGCTGTTGGGGTTCTTGCAGGTTTTGTATGGTCGCAGGGTTGAGGGTGGTGTTCAGGATGTTTCAGCCACGCCATACATGTGTATATGGGCATTTCCGAAAACAGGGGTACCCACCACATACCCCCCCCAGAAGACGGGGAAATCCTTGTCATAGGAACCTCAAGAAAGGGTAGCCCTCTTTTCGGAAACCCCCATGTACATAAAACACAATATGTATACATATATATAGGTAAATAAAGTAACAAGAAGAAAATTGAAAGGCTTCGGAGTCGAGGAGTAAAAGTGACACAGGCTTCCAAACCTTACAGCCCACACACCACCCCCAAATGAAAGTGCATTATGCGAACTTTTCACGTATGTGCTCTGCTCTCAGACTGTAATCTTAATCACGCAAACCCTGAAACCGTAAACACCCAAACCCTAAACCCCGCAAAACCCTAAACCCTTTTCAAAACCCTGACCCCTCAACGCGACACCCCCGAAAGCCTCAACCCAATGTGTGACCGTGATACCTGAATGCCGAAGTCCGAAACCCCAAAAGAGTCTTGCAAACCCTATTTCAGGCTCGCAGGATTCTGTTTAGGGTTTCGGGGAGAGGCCTCCTATCAACCCGAAAAACCTACAGGGGAGACAAACAAGGGCGGCAGGGGGTATGGACTCAAGGTCGGAGCCCCCCTAGGCCCTAAACCCCAAGCTACTATTTGCTTAAGAAGCCCCCCCCCCCAAAAAAAAAAAATAATAACAATAACAAACAAAAAAACCTATTCTTCCTTATATGGGGCACTTCAGGGATTCTCAAACAAAATCTCTTCTTCCTTATAAAGGGCATTTCAGGGATGGTCACTGTTCTTTTTTCTCGGTGGTTCTCAAGCAAATAGTAGTAAACTGCAGGATATCCAGGAGCTCCTCCATAAGATGCAGACTGAGGTGGGAGCGTGTCCCTCTTCTTTTCGCTTCCGTGCAGTTTAAGGCTTTGGGGTTGTTAGGGTTTAGGGTTTTGTGTTTAGTGTTTAGGGTTTAGGGTTTAGGGCTGCCAGGGCTTTTGGGGGTTTAGGGTTTACGAGGTTGCTAGGGTTCTTGAAGCTTAGATTTCTTAGGGCTGTTAGGGTGCGGGTGTGGGGGGGCTATTCGAGTTGTTAGGGTTCAAGGAGCTATTAGAGAATTTGGGTCATGAGGATTTGGGGCTTGCTTGGGTTGGGGAGGGCATACTATAGGTAGTATTCCCTTATGGTTCCTTTGTAGATATACTATAATCACCCCCCCCCCCCCCCCCGCCAAAACCCTGTTCTAATTATTCAGCCCGCAAAATTTGGCCAGCTAGAACTTCTCGATCCTTCCAGACTGCGTCTTGCTCATGTTCTTGATGAGGCGAGTCTTCCACCGTAAACCCTAAACCCTAAACCCTAAACATTAAACCCTAAACCCTAAACCCTAAACCCTATACCCTAAACCCTAAACCCTAAACCCTAAACCCCGAGGTGTGAGCTTCCCTCTTCGACTTGAAAATCCCTGACGACAGGCCAAAGCGACCCTGGACGCGGAGAGGCGTCATGCCGCCACAGAGAGGCCCTGGGTTCCCTGAGGACCAAATGAACCCAAAAGTTGGGCTTAGGGTTTAGGGTTTAGGGTTTAGGGTTCAGAGTTTAGGGTTTAGGGTTTAGGGCTTAGGGTTTAGGGTTTAGAGTTGTTTAGGGTTTAGGGGTCATATACCCCATACTACTATACTTCCTATCAAGGTGTATGAACCATACACCTTTGAGGGTTCATGTTGTCCCCCAAGGTTTGAGGTCAGTCAGTGTAGGGTTCGGGGTTTAGGGTTTCAGGTTCAGGGCACAAGGTCGAGGGCTTGGCGTTCAAGATGTGAGGCTAAACCCTAAGCCCTAAACCCTAAACCCCACATCCTAAACCCTAAACTAAACCCTAAGCCCTAAACCGCCTAAACCCTAAACCCTAAACCCTAAAATATGGCCGCGGTTTAAGGATTTGGGTCTTACTGGTGTATGTTGACAACCGAGCACTGGAGCGAGCCTTGGGGTTACTCGATCCCAGGGCCCGACACGGTTTAGGGGTTTAGGGTTTAGGGTTTAGGGTTTTAGGGCTTAGGGATTAGGGTTGAGGGTCCAGGAGAGCCAACTAAGTTGCGGGATGGCGCCGGCAAGCGTGTCGGGGCTTATGAGGCTGTTGCTTGCAAGGTTTTTTTTCAAGGGGTTACTACTACTTGCTGAAGAACCCCAAAAGAAATACAGATCAAGAAACCTATGTTCCCCTTGATAAGGAAGACTTTTTTTCTTGTTTTTTTTTTTTTGGGGGGGGGGGTTAATAAGCAACTGGTAGTTTAGGCCTTATATTGCCTGGTGGTCTCTTTAAGTAGGGTTTCTGTTTTGTAGGGGGTTCTTCTTAGGGTATCTGGGGGCTGTTTTGAGGCATAAGGGTAACAGATAAAGAGGCCACCGGCCTGTATAATTCAGGCCTGTAGTTTAGGCCTCATATTGCCTGGTGGTCTCTTCAAGTAGGGTTTCTGTTCTGTAGGGGGTTCTTATTAGGCAAAAAAAAGGTATAAGGGTAACAGATGCAGAGGCCACCGGCCTGTATTATTTAGGCTTTTTAGGCGTTCAAACTGTCTTTGGGTCTAAGGGAGGTTACTTGGTCCCTTCATGTGCCCCCCCTACCTTCGTTCAAGGGTTTAGGGTTTAGGGTTGAGGGTTTAGGGTTTAGGGTATGGGCCCTTGGGTTGTAGTACTGTATATAAGGGGTATAGAAGGGGTCACCATTGAAGGGTTCAAGGGGTCCTTCAACGAACGAACCATGTATGCTCTACAAGTCCTATATCACAGGCGTACTTTGCGCATGGATGAGGGCCTTTACGCGTGAACAAAACGACCGCAAGACAAGAAGATAAGAACAAGACACGAAGTTCCAATAATTAGATGAAAGACATGTAATGCTGCAAGACAAAGAAAAGACAACCATAAAGTGAATCATGAATCAAATATGTGGGGAAACGAAGTTCTTTAATCGAAAACTAATCAACAGATGCATATTAACGACTGCGAAGTCAAGTTGCTAGTTGATTATGAAGTTTCTACATGAACAAAAGCATGCCCTAAAGATACAGCAGCAATAGATAAAAGAAGTGTTTTAGCAAACGGTAGTTCACAAGGAAGATAGAACGCTTCACGTAAAGTTGGACAAGATAAAGGAATGGAACGATGTCCAAAATTAGGACACAAATATTTAGAGCCTTAGAAACTAGAACCCCCCCCCCAAAAGTAAATAAACATGTTTTTACACAGACTTCATTTTTAGTGACTCCTCGAAATAGATCCCGAGACCAACTGTGAAAACTATAACGTAATCCAAATAGCAGATGATAAGACACAAGAAAATAGTTCTATGAGAAGTGAATTCCAGTCCCACAAAAAGCATTCAATCCTGTAAGGAGAAATAGAATTACAGTAAGAGCAACGTATAATTGCCAAGGATTATTTATAGGAAACAACGTGAGTCTGATGTAACTTCTAAATGTTTAGATGTCCACAATACCTAGTTCCACAACACCACATAATGCGTATGGGCTAGGAAATTGATATACTTCTGGGGTGTAGGGTATTAGGGTTTAGGGTTTAGGCTGGTACTAGTACTAGTACGACTACGGATCCAACAGTCCATGGTGCTACGCTCTACCAAAACCTTATTCCCCAAACGTTGAACCCTAAACTCAACCTTCATGCAAACCTTTAATGTTAGGGTCGCTTTAATAAACCCCCCCCCCCCCGCCCCCCCAAATCTTGTTTTGGTCCCCGGGGCTTGGAGGGGGTGGAAAAAAAGAGGGGGTGTCAATTATGAGGATTCTGGGGGTCTGGGGTCTGGGGGTCTGGGGGGGGTCAGCTGTCAGGGTCTGCTTTGCTTTGTCTTGAAGGCTTCTGCTTGCTCTCTGCAGCTCCTTTTGCTCTGCCGGCCCGACTTGGTCTGTTTGCTGTCCTGCATTTTCAGTAAAATTTTCAATTCCTGGCCAGAGAAATTTTACAATTGCCACCCCATTCTTATTATCACCGGACCCCCCTATATAGACTTGTTTACATACATCGGCCCGAAAACCTCCCGTAATGGAAAGTAGTCTTCGGCTGGGGCCCTCTGGCCTGGCGAATATTACTATTGCCACCCCAATTAAAAAAGCCACCCTCACATCCCTGAACCCTAAACCCTAAATCCTAAACCCTAAACCCCAAACCCCTATTTAGGGCCCGGACTGCGCTTCCGCAGGCTCAGAGAGGTCAGTTCAGACAAGACCGTCCTTACGGAGGCCAGCCATAAGGGCTTTTAGGTGGAGGGGCTTACAAGGAGGGCCCCCCCCCCTAGTTATACGTAAGTAGAGTTGTAAGGGCCCTAACTTGGGTTATAAGGATCCTAAAGTAGGTTATAAGTCCCTTAACTATAGTTGGTATAGTAAGAGGGCCCCTCTTTGTATGGAGGGGTTTGTAGGGTTTCGGGGTCTAGAGGTGTTTAGTGTTTAGGGGTGTACGGTGTACGGGTTACAGATTTAGGGGCTTAGGCGCTCATGACCGGGCTTTTAGGTGGAGGGGCTTATGGGGGTTTGTCGGGTTTCGGGGTCTAGGGTTTTTGTTGTTTAGGGTGTCCGGGTTACAGGTTTACGGGCTTGGGCCTTATAGTAGCTGAATCAGTACACTTTACACCTTTTGGGATACTATAATCAATCCCCCATAGACCTGAAAGTGTCCACTTTTTGGGGGAGCTTCTGAACTCAGCAACTAAGAGGCGCTTATAGGCTTTGGTTTCATGGCCTTCCAAGAGTTGCGGGCTTTGGATTTGTAAAGGCTTCCATGAGGGGCGTGGGGATGTTTGGGTTTAGGGTTTAGGGTTTAGGGTTCAGCATCTCAAAGTTCAAGCATTCACTAGGCTGGCAGCCTTTCAAGCGCCCGAAAAGTACCCACCCACCCAGAGAATCCCATACCATTAAGACAATAAAAGTTTCACACGCAACCCAAATTCTTAACCCTACGCTCTTGTCCCTGAACCTTCAACCACCGTAGAACCCTCAGCCCTGAACCCTTGAACCCTAAATTTTAGGGCTCCTCAACCCTCATGCCAGCCAGTGGCTTTGCAAATGACCCAGTGCATGGGGTGGGGTGGGGAGGGGGGGGGAGAGGGGGGGAGGGGGGGGGGGGGGAGAGGGGGAGGGGGGGGGGGGGGCGGGGCGGGGGGGGGGGGGGGGGGGGGGGGGGGGGGGTGGGGGGGGGGGGGGGGGGGGGGCGGGGGGGGGGGGGGGGGGGGGGGGGGGGGGGGGGGGGGGGGGGGCCAAGGACCTTGCCCACTGATTTTCGGACCTTGCCCGCTAAATTTCGGACCTTGCCCGCTAATTTTCGGACCTTGCCCGCTAATTTTCGGACCTTGCCCGCTAATTTTCGGACCTTGCCCGCTAATTTTCGGACCTTGCCCGCTAATTTTCGGACCTTGCCCACTAATTTTCGGACCTTGCCCGCTAATTTTCGGACCTTGCCTTTCGGACCTTGCCCGGGGCCTTTCCCGGGTCCGAAAATTAGCGGGCAAGGTCCGAAAATTAGCGGGCAAGGTCCGAAAATTAGTGGGCAAGGTCCGCAAATCAGTGGGCAAGGTCGTGGGTCAGCGGGCAAGGTCCGAAAATTAGTGGGCAAGGTCGTGGGGCAGCCAATGGACCTTGCCCGCTGATTTTCGGACCTTGCCCGCTAATTTTCGGACCTTGCCCGCTAATTTTCGGACCTTGCCCGCTAATTTTCGGACCTTGCCCACTAATTTTCGGACCTTGCCCGCAAAGCCATTAACATTTATATTATATATGAAAGAGTGGTTTAGGGTTTAGGGTTTAGGGTTTAGGGTTTAGGGTTTAGGGTTTAGGGTTTAGGGTTTAGGGTTTAGGGTTAGGGTTCTGGGTTTCAAGGAGACCCAAACCTTACAAACCCTAGTCTCTGTATGGTGGCACCACACACCGAGTCCGGCCTTCGTACTGGCCTCTTGCTAAGGCTTTTTATGTCACAGGGTGGTCATAGAGCTGTACAAATGGGGTACGCCCCGATTTTGGGAAAGACCCAAATGGTTTTACGAGCTTGAGGAGGCGGCTTCGCGCTGGTCTTAATCTTCGATTTACGGTTAGGGTTTAGGTTTAGGGTTTAGGGTGTAGGGTGTAGGGTTTAGTTTAGCCAGACTTGGTTTTAAGGGCCAACCTGGCTAGCGTTTGCCTGGAAGATGCCCTGTTCGCCATTTTTTGGTGGTCGGTTGCCTGATAAGCCATGAAGCAACAGCAGCCGTTCAATATCAGGGTTGCGGGGGAAGCTAGTATACCTGGGCCCCCGATGTCTTTTCCTATATTGGGTGGCGTACGTATTTGCTGCTTCTCATCGAACAGATCCCCAAAAAGAGGAACTACAATTTGGCCACTTGGGGTCTAGACCCTAAACCCTAAACCCTAAACCCTGGAGTTTATAGGGTTTAGGGTTTTTATAACCGTCTTAACCTAGCTTTTGCTACCCACACAGGCCTGTGACTTAGATCGGCCACTGATTTACTGGTTCTTAGTACTTGGAGGTTCAGGGTACCTCGAACCCCAATTAAAACTGTACTTAGACGCCCCCTAAGTCCTCCAGGTCGCTTATAAGTAGACTTATTTTAGTATGGGTTATAAGTACGCATGAACCTCCAAGTAGGGAATGGGGTACCCATGGGAACTCAATGTCCTCCATTACGTTTGAAGGGATGTTTTTGGGCACCTTAAATTCTCCATTCCCTACTAACCCAGGGGGCTGAATCGTGTAGGGTTCAGTTTCAGGGTTCAGGGTTTAGGGATTGGGGATTCCTTGGAGCTGTACGGGCAGTGCTCGTGTTCAATCGTTCCCACATGACGCTGCGCGTAGGGTTTAGGGTTTAGGGCTTAGGGTTTGGGGTTTAGGGTCTGGGGTTTGGGGTTTGGGGTTTAGGGTCTAAAATTCGGTGTTTGGACTTTGCCGGTCTTGTGTTTGTAGAGCTTTATGTGGAACTTTGCTTTTCTGAACAGCCGGACCAAGCAGCTAGTGGATTTTTACATGAGGCGCGGTCAAACTTACCGCTTGCTTGTTTTAGTAGAGGGCGCAGGTGTTGCGACAAAATTCCGAGGATCGATAAGGGACGCGCTAAAATGATGGAGGTATTTGATGTCATAGGATAAATGTGCGATAGGTGAAAAGCATGGGAAACGATCGGGGGCGCGCTAACTCAAGCGAGGCTTCATCAAGTCATTTTCCGACGCCGCCTCACACGGTGCACAGTTGTCAACCACGAGACGATGCGCTGCATACCGTACGGGCACGCGATCTTCGTATCCACTACCACGGTACGGTTCAAACCCTAAACCCTAAACCCTAAACCCTAAACCTAAACCCTAAACCCTAAACCCTAAACCCTAAACCCTAAACCCTAAACCCTAAACCCTAAACAGCGAAAGTTTTTGGACAGACAGGCATCTCTTAAGTCGCCACTCGGGATGAGAAGCGCCGGAATTCTTCCGAGAGTCTGAAACAGAGATCCGGCCTCCTTGGTCACGAGATTCAGCGGCCCAAGCTGAGGTTTAGGGTTTAGGGTTTAGGGTTCATAGAGGTTGGGAGGTTGTAGGGATTCTAGGGCTACAGGGTTTAGGGTCTAGGGTTTAGGGTTTCGGGTTAAGGGTTTGGGGTAGAGGACTGTGTCCCAATAGAGAGACCTATCATATACTTGCAACTTGCTTGCATCCCACTGAGTAGGCCTTCACTTTTTGTTTAAGGGTTGGGTCTGGTTTGGGTTTGGGTTCAGAGGGTTTAGGGTTTAGGGTTTAGGGTTTAGGGTTAAGCCTCGATGTCGTTGGCAAGCAGCGCAACTCAAGACATTCATCTTGACTCCCTTCTCTCTTCCCCGCATCGCGTCGTGCAGCCCGTAGGCCGCGGTCAGCAACCCTAACATCCGAAGCTTTCGGTTCAGTACCCCCAAGCACCAGGCTCTTTCAGCCCCAAACCTTAAGCATCAAAACCCTCCGAGCTCCAAACGCCCCCCCCCCCCCCCCCCCCCCAGTTCCCAAAACTGTGAGATGAAAACCCGGCTCCTAAACCTTACCCCCAAACCACGACACCCTAAGCCTTAAGCCCTACAGCCTAAACTCAAACCTCAACACACTAGGCTGTCAGCCCTTAGTGGGTTTACGAAAACACGGGCACCCTTATAGTAGGACCGTGAAGGTAAACCCTAAACCTCTAAACTCTAATTTCGGAGATTCCCTAAACCTCCCAACCTCTATGAACCCTAAACCCTAAACCCTAAACCCTGAACCCGAAACTTCCAAGCCTCAGCGCGCCCTGAAGTGAGGAGTACTTAATGGACCTTGAGCCCAAGCAGCTCAAGGCCGTCTTGAGAGCTCTCGGGGTTTAGGGTTTAGGGTTTAGGGTTTAGGGTTTAGGGTTTAGGGTTTAGGGTTTAGGGTTTAGGGTTTAGGGTTTAGGGTTTGGGGAGGCTTTCAGCATGCTTCAAATCTTCAAGAGGTGTTAGGGTTGTGGGGGTGTCAGTGAGTCAGGGGAAAGCCGTAGTAGTGACAACAACGAGCACATGCCAAAACACGCAAGAATCACTGCTGATCGACTCAACAGTCAATAATTGCGAGGACTTCCTACCAACAAGAAAGCGCGAGAAACCTGGGAACGTCCCAAATTCAACTTGCTCAGCCTCGAGCAGGCTCCAAGCCGTAATCTCAGAATGAACCCGGATGCCCAGTAAAGGGTTCAGGGCTGTATGCAGCTGTAGGGCCTATCAAGTTTAGGCTTGGGCTTAAAATAGCCCAAAGACCTCATGTCGGCCCAAAAACCCTAGAATAACAGTTCTTGGAGCCTTAAGGTTCTTGTTTTACAGCAAAGTGCTGTGAGGTCGGGACAGGGGTGCTTCTTGAGGACCGGACCGGTGCAACACGTTTCGACTTGATGGTCTGGATGTTTGGATGTTCCCCCTCAGACTCAACAGTCCTTACAAACAGGATTTCAGTATCCCCTACTATAACCCCCTTATACTAACAGTCCTTAATAGGGATCATAGTAGCCCCCTACTATAATCCCCATCAAGGACTCTTAATCTAATATAAAAAGAGAACATCCCCAAAATGTGGATGTTCGACGTGGCGGAGCCTTCTGCTCCTGGCTGAGGATTTTTGGACACGCGGGCCGAGGGCCTGAGGATTCCTGAGCCGCTAGCTTCTGGCTTACTCCGAACTGTTGGGGCCCCGGCCTAGAATTCAACTTAGGGTTTAGGGTTTAGAGTTAAGGGTTTAGGGTTTGGGGTTTAGGGTTTGGGGTTTAGGGTTTAGGGTTTGGGGTTTAGGGTTTGGGGTTTAGGGTTTGGCGTTTAGGGTTTAGGGTTTAGGGGTTGCACAAACTCGCGTCTGCAGGTGCACCTGACTCAGTTCGAGAATGATGTGGAGATGCTCCAAAAGAAGGTGCAGGCTCGCGGCAGCATCTCTAACCTGTTTAGGGTTTAGGGTTTAGGGTTTAGGGTTTAGGGTTCTGCATTTAGGGGCTCAGGGCAGGTGAGGGCTTCGGGATGTGGTCTAGAGCTCTGTGGCCCATGCAACAGAAACCCTGTGACATTGTGCTACCCCATACTCTATACCCCAAACCCTACAGCTTCTCTGCGGCTTTGTGCCCGTACTGCAGCGCCCCATCTTCTTCGTGATGCGGCATCCGGCTGCAGTGCTCTGAGCCCTAAACCCTACACCCTACACCCTAAACCCTGAACCCTGAACCCTAAACCCTAAACCCAAAGCCTTTGTTTTTGCGGCCCTAGAGGCCCTTGAGGCTCTATGGTGAGATACGTAACCATGGATCACCTGCCTTAAGAGCCCAAAGTCTTCTGTAGGTTCACTTGTTATACAGCCCCAAATACAAGGATTCTTAGGTCACCAACCCTAAACCCTAAACCCTAAACCCAAAACCCCAAACCCCAAACCCTAAACCCTAAACCCTAAACCCTAAACCCTAAACCCTAAACCCTAAACCCTAAGTCCCTGTGCAGGAGATGGAGGCTGCGCGGATCGCCGAGGCGCGGGGGGGAGCCGATCGTGCTCAGCGCCTCGGCCTCCAGTGGCTTTGGTTTAGGGTTTAGGGTTTAGGGTTTAGGGTTTAGGCTTTAGGGTTTAGGGTTTAGGGTTTAGGGTTTACGGTTTAGGGTTTAGGGTTTAGGGTTTAGGGTTTAGGGTTCAAGGTTTTGGGTTTAGGGTTTAGGGTTTAGGGGTTAGGGTTTAGGGTGGTTTAGGGTTGAGGGGTTAGGGTTCAAGGGTTTAGGGTTCAAGGGTTCAAGGGTTCAAGGGTTCAAGGGTTCAAGGGTTCAAGGGTTCAAGGGTTCAAGGGTTCAAGGGTTCAAGGGTTCAAGGGTTCAAGGGTTCAAGGGTTCAAGGGTTCAAGGGTTCAAGGGATAGGGTTTTTAGGGTTTAGGGTTCTGGGGTTAGGGTTCAAGGGTTTAGGGTTCAAGGGTTCAAGGGTTCAAGGGTTCAAGGGTTCAAGGGATAGGGTTTTTAGGGTTTAGGGTTCTGGGGTTAGGGTTCAAGGGTTTAGGGTTCAAGGGTTCCAGGGTTCAGGGTGTAGGGTTCAGGGGTTTAGGGTGTAGGGTTTAGGTGTGGGTGGGGTTTGGAGTCTGTGCACCTGACGTGGGGCGACCCTCAGGGGGGCATGGAGCCCCAAGACCCAAAACCCGAACAGTCACAACGGACCCGCATACCCTAAACCCTAAACCCTAAACCCTAAACCCTAAACCCTAAACCCTAAATGGGGGGGGGGCTATCTTCCATCATGTCGGGGCTTGCCTTGGGGACTGCCTAGGGCCTGTCGTGGGACTAATTAGGAAAAGGGATTGCAGTATAGCCCAAATGGAAGTGAGTTTTTTTTCCGGGCTTGTAACAGGCGCCGGGGGGGTCCCTCCGCGACAAAGGTTTGCAACAGACGTGCCGCGTCCGCGACAACCCCCCCCCGCGACAAGGCTACAACCCCCCCCCCCCGACAAGACAGCAATACCATTGAATTTTCTCATTGCCAATCTCGATGCGACCTTGATGCGTGTCTGCAGCAACTTTCACTCTCAGTCCGCGACAAGGCCTGCGACAGGGCGCGACATACCCGCGACAACCCGCGCGACTGCTCGAGCCAGCAGGTGCCCATCCGTAGGACAACCTTGAACGAGAAGCACAGGGTTTATATTTACAGGGTTCAGGGTTTAAGGCTCTCCAGTAAAATCCCTGCGGTCCCTACACCCTTCTCCGAAACCCCAACCCTAAACCTAAACCCTTTACCCTAAACCCTTACAAAACCCAACTAAGAAAATTGGGTTCAAAGTAGCGGCGCGACAAAGGTATGAAACAACCTGCCCGCGACAAGGCTTGTAGCAGAGGGCGGGGGGGACCCCCCGCGACAACCCGAATTTTAACCCACTGCCAAATAGTTGTGCCTTCCAGGGTAGTAGGACTACGTACAACATTCTTGCAAGCGTGTCTGCACATTACATCTCACACAGTTCTAGGAATATTTCAGGGTTCAGGGTTTAGGGTTTAAGGGTTTTTTGCATCTCTAGAGCCTTTAGGGCTATAGGGTTTAGGGTTCAGGGTTTAGGGCTTAGGGTTTAGGCCTGAAACCCCACCAGGAAAGCATTGGTGGTCGCGGGTTCGATCTTACGGGCTTCCATGGGCGTTGGCTTTGCTACATCCCTTGGTGGTTCATGGTACTTATTAACCAATCAATACAGGGGCCGGAATAATTACTAATCGTACTCCCTTTAGGGTCCCTTTGTCGTTATACTATAATCGCCCCCAAAACCTGGTTCTAAGTGTTCAGGACTTATTCAACTTCTAACCCACTTCATAAGCCCCTGAAGCCGTATTCTAAACCCTACACCCTCAAGCCTAACCCCTAAGCCCTGAACCCTAACCCTAAACCCTAAACCCTAAACCCTAAACTGATTAGGGCTTAGGCATTTACAACCCGCGGGCCCCTCAGGAAAGCCAGAAAGGCCGCCTCTTGGACCCTTCTTGGCCAGAGGTTGCTGGGAGTAAAGGGTTTATGGGGTTTAGGTAGGGTTTAAGTAGGGTTTAAGTAGGGTTTAAGTAAGGTTTAGGTAGGGTTTAAGTAGGGTTTGCAGGGGTTTATAGGGGTTTATAGGGGTTTATAGGGTTTAAGTAGGGTTTAGGTAGGGTTTATAGGGTTTATAGGGGTTTATAGGGTTTTTTTGGGTTGATAGGGTTTAAGTAGGGTTTACAGGGTTTATAGGGTTTATAGGGTTTATAGGGTTTCGGGTTCAGGGTCTGGGATTAGGGTTTCGACTTCCGCACAGTTGTCGATGGCTTTTCAATGTCTAGCTGCTTCGATCTATTCGATTGGTAGGCAGAACTTCTTCGAATTGAAGCCTAAACCGTAAGCCTTACACATGCTTCCAGGGGCAGTTTCGACTTAGTTGTTAAGGGAAGGGAGAGTTTTGAGGGCGTAGGCTACGGGGCTCCTAAACCCCCCAAACCCTGAAACCCTAAAGCCCAAACTCGTATGAATTCAGTTTTCCTGGGTTTCGGGGTTTAGGGCTTGGGGCTCGGGGTGTCGGCTTGTTCAACTACATGTGGTCCGTTCTGAAAGTGATGGTCTCTTGTAGCATTGTATCTCAGGCGGCGTTCTCTAGAAGGGAAGCAAAAGGAAGCCGCGTGATTTTGTTCTCACGGCTTTGGAAGGCATTTGAGGGCCCCCCCCTGCCCCGAACACCATGGCGCCTTTTGTGGGTTTAGTGTCTAGAAGGGTTTGGGGGGTTCAGGGTTGAATTGTTGAGGGTTTGCATGGGTTTAGGGTTTAGGGTTTAGAGTTTAGGGTCTAGGGTTTAGGGTTTAGGGTTTTTTGCTAGCTCTCAGATCTCGGAGAGCCCTGTTCCTTTCTGCATCAGGCGGCAAGTCGACGTAGGGTTTAAGTTTAGGGTTTAGGGTTTAGGGTTTAGGGTTTATGGTTAGGCTTGACGGTTTAGGTTTAGGGTTTAGGGTTCAGTGTTTAGGGTATGTTACATACCCTAAACAAACCCTACAGTAAGTTTTAGGGTAAGGTTTAAAACTTAGGGTTTAGCTCGGCTTGCTTGTCGACTTTAACTTAATTTGCAATCCACGTGCGTGTGTGTGGCCAGCGCCGCTGCACGCAACTTGAATGATCCAAGCCAACGCAAGTAAACCCTAAACCCTAAACCCTAAACCCTAAACCCTAAACCCTAAACCCTAAGTTTTGTGGTATGATCCACAGGCTGTGTGGTGCTCTCTGCGCTCCGAAGAGAGAGGAAAACGGCTCCTGTGAAGCTGCCTGTTCTTCTGTGCGGGATGGGTTTGGCTGCAGATGACGCTCCTCTTGTTTGCCTCGCAAGTGCGCGCAGTGGTAGGGGCCAGGCACTTCTGCCGTGGTCAGCAACTTCAGGCCCATGGATGGTACTTTGCTGCCGCTGTTGGGCACCAGTGTCGCCAGTCCAGGCCGTGACCGCAGTCCATCACCTGGCGTTGGGACGGACACCTACAACGAGCAGTGTAGCGACGTGGATTTCTGTGCTTCAGCGGGATTGCTTGAAGATGCAGAAGAACACCGCTTAAGGTTCAGAATGGCTTGAGAGCTTATAGGGGTTGTGGGGTTTGGAAGCGTCTCAGGGTTTAGGGCTCAGGGTATACCCAGAGGCTCCTAGCACAATTTTTTTCTTTTTTTTTTTTTGGGGGGGGGGGGTGGGGGGGGGGGGGGGGGGGGGGGTAGCCCTGACGAGTATGGTTGGACCATGCTGAGGGCAAGGCGTTGTGCTCTTCAAGTAGCTCCCATGGAATCTCTCAAACGGGCTTACCCTAAACCCTAATCCGTAAACCCTAAACCCTAAACCCTAAACCCTAAACCCTAAACCCTAAACCCTAAACCCTAAACCCTAAACCCTAAACCCTAAACCCTAAACCAAAGACGTTTGTACGTGAAGGGGATGTCCCTCCTGCAGAAGCCCTTGAAGTTCTATGGGGCACCGATTTGCGTTCCCTCCTCAGAACCTTGGGGGGCTAAATGAGCCCTTAAGAGGGTTTATGGTTCATATACCTTAGTAGGGATTATCAGAGCATAGGGTAGGCCCTAAGCCCTAAACCCTAAACCCTAAACCCTAAACCCTAAACCCTAAACCCTATATAAACCCTAAACCCTAAACCCTAAACCCTAAACCTAAACCCTAAACCCTAAATGTTTCTCAGTCCAAGGGAACCAGTAAGAAGCCCAGGCACTTGTGGCACAGCAGAACTCCACTGCCGACGGCTCCTCTGCAGCTTTCGTTTGGGCGTGGGGTTAGGGTTGAGGGGGTTTAGGGTTTAGGGTTTAGGGTTTAGGGTTTAGGGTTTAGGGTTTAGGGTTTAGGGTTTAGGGTTTAGGGCGTGCAGTTCATGTAGGACTGAGGGTCGAGGGCGCGTGCAGGGTTGAGGAGCCCACGGTGTAGGATCTGATTTTGGGGTTTCGAGTATTTCGGGCTTCGAGGGCTTCGGCACTCCTACAGAGCTCAGGGCTTTAGGGTTTAGGGTTTAGGGTTTAGGGTTTAGGGTTTAGGGTTTAGGGTTAGGCCTGGCACCTACACATTTACATCATGGGGCACAGCCGAAACCCCCAAACTGCCCTTTGCTTGCCATACCGACCCAATCCCGAGGAGGTGCCAGCGAAGGACGCAGAAGTGATTCCGTTGCTGTTAAATTACCTGGGGTGTGCTTTGGGACAATTGTTAACTTCCCCTCTTTCCTTATAAGGGAACCTATTGCAAGCGTCAAATCCTAAACCCTGAAAACCTGAAACCCTAAACCCTATACCCTATACCCTAAACCCTAAACCCTAAACCCTAAACCCTGCAACCCTGCAACCCTGCAACCCTAAACCCGAAGATATTCACTGCCAACACGAGCCTGACCTCTCAACAGCCTTCTTGCTGCAGGCTTCCCGCTGCCCACACTAAGCAAGTCAAACTTCGCAGGCTGCCAAGCCTCCCTACACTAACCTTGATACTGACATCAGGTAAATGTGCCTTGATGACAGGCTAATACGTGCCCCTTGGTTGAACTAAACTGTGAGCCCCTATGGGATCTCCGTTACATGCTGCTATTGAGGACAACCCGCCATATAAGCCTAAACCCTAAACCCTAAACCCGAAACCCTAAACCCTAAACCCTGAACTTAACCCGTGCTCAAGGCAAGCCCGGGGATGCGGGGACACGGAGGCAGGTATCTCTGCGCGACATGCTCGATTTCATGGGGGAGATTGCCTAAGCAAGCTTGTCTCGTAGGTCACCTAGCAGAATCTAGCACCCGGAAGGACACAATAGTTAGGGCCCTGGAAGTAGAGGGTTAGGTACTGCTTTCAGATTTGGAGGGTGGGTCTGGACTCAGGGCTTAGAGGGTGTAGGGGCGAGCTTTGGGGGCTATGTGAACAAGACGCCTAACATGTCCAAAAGTGTTCCCCCCCCCCCCCTCCCCGGGGACGACTCCATCACCCGTCAGTGAAATGTCGGCCCTTGGGTCTGCGGTGTCAGGTTTGGGGTTTAGGGTTTAGGGTTAAGGGTTGAGGGTTTAGGGTTAAGGGTTGAGGGTTCCGGCAAAAGCCTTAATATAGGGGCCTCGATCATCTCTAAGAATGTTCCCGCATGGTCCCTTTGTAAGTATACAGCCCTCTATCGCACGCATGAAGCGCCGAATCCCCAAACAGCGCCTCAGGGAGCCCAAGACCCTTTCATTAAGGAATGGACCTTAGAAGCTACAATTGGGATCCTTAATTATGATTTGAGGCATTTTTCTTTTTTAAGGAGCATGGGTATGTTGGGCTCTTTGGGACATCCTAACCACCAAAGCCCGAAACCCCCCCGCTACCTTGTCCAAGGCTCAGTAGTAGTTCGCGCTTTGGGTGGTGCCCCTTTTGCTGCTGTAGAAGTGGTATCATGCGATACCAAATCATACAGCAAGATTTAATTCTACGACCCCGCACCCCCCTCCCTTCCAACCCTAAACCCTAAACCCTAAACCCTAAACCCTAAACCCTAAACCCTAAACCCTAAACCCTAAACCCTAGAAAGAGCACAAAAAAAAAGGAAGGATACGTGTGGGGCCCAACCGATCTCAGCACCCTGACATCGCTCTTGTGCTAAACCCTAAACCCTAAACCCTAAACCCTAATCTCTGCACCCTGGCATCGCTCTTGTGCGCCAGAACCTCCTTGATCTCGCCCCCGGGAGCTGTGGACCCACGTGCCTCGTCGGCGGCTGCCTTCCTAGGGTTTAGGGTTTAGGGTTTAGGGTTTAGGGTTTGGGGTTTAGGGTTTAGGGTTTAGGGTTTAGGGTTTAGGGGTTTAGGGGTTTAGGGTTTAGGGTTAAGGGGTTTAGGGTTTCGGGTTTAGGGCTTAGGGTTTAGGGTTTAGGGTTGAGGGTTTAGGTTTAGGGTCTATAGGGCTTAGGGTCTATAGGGCTTAGGGTTTAGTAGGGTTTAGGGAGCCCCTCTCTTGGGTCTAAAAGGATCAGCCAAGTTTAGGAATTGTGTTTTCAGAGGAGTTCTTTGGCCAGCCTGGCTCCCCTCCTGGCTTCCTACATCCCTACATCTGTCTATGATGTTCAGGCAACCACTCGTTAGCCTACTGGAACCCTTATAAGGACTCAAACCCTAAGCCCTAAACCCTAAACACTATGACTAGAACCCTTATAACGACACAATGGTTAGGGTGGGGGGGAGTTAGGTTTCAGGACTTGGTGACTTGAGGTTGTCAAGTTCGTGGAGCTTCGATATCAGCAGCATCTACATTTGTGTTGTAGGCTTCTGGAGTTTAGGGCTTGAGACCAGGGTTTAGGGTTTGGGGTTTCGGGTTTAGGGCTTAGGGTTTAGGGCATCTAGGGTCAGGAGTTCTTGCCATGTAGCTGTTGAGCTTGGTTCTGCAACTTCTGTTTTCTTTGGGTTGCGTTGGGAGGGCTGCATGGGATGGGAATCGCTACTCTAATCTCGTACTTGATGTTGGCGGGGTTCGGGTATCGGGTTCAGGTCTTAGGGCTTAAGTGGACTTAAGAATCTGCACGAACACTAGTGATCTCCAATATCTTGACAGGACAGGGCTTTTAAAAGCCCTAAACCCTAAACCCTAAACCCTAAACCCTCTAAATCGAACGCCGCCGCACCCCGGCAAACGCGATACTGTAGCCCCAACATGTTAAACCGCCGAACAAAACTCGTCCACCCCGGAAGCCCTGCCAAAACCCTAAACCTCCAAACTCAAACCCCCAAACGCTAAACCCAACCAAAGCCCTAAGCCCTAGAAGCCCGAAGAGTTTAGGGTTTAGGGTTTAGAGGGTTTAGGGTTTAGAGCTTAGGGTTCGAGAAGCCCTACTTGGTAGCCCCGTGGTACCCTTTTTCCTTCTCAAGGTTCTCATATAAAGTAACAAACCCACTGGGCTACCAAGCCTAAACCTCAAATCCTGGGTTCGTTTACCACGTTTGCCGCGCAACATGTGGTAAACTTGGGGAGGGGGGGGGGGGGGGGTGGTTGGTGACAGATTTTTGCCAGTAACCTTCACACTTCAAGCTCTGCCACCATTCGACTTCCAAACTACAAGTCCCAAGGCTCCCCGAACCCTCCACTTCCAAGCTTTAAGTCCCAAGCCTCCCTACCCCAACTTCCAAACTTGAAGCTCCCTACCCTCCACTTCCAAACTTGCTGGAGGACGAAAGCAGTGCACAACCGGACTTTCATCTGTGTGCACGAGATAAAACACAATTTTGGGCAATGCAGTTTCCTATACCCTTTCGACATCTGTGTCTTGCAAATTGCAAGACACCGACTACACGTGCAAGCTACTGCAAGTTTAGCCGGAAGTGTCCATACATGCCTCAGTCAAGAGTTACGATCCTAACAAACATCTGAGCACTGACATCAAGAATGCGCGGCAAACGTGGTAAACGCAGCCATCATCCCAAAGCCCTACATAAAGCCCTAGATAAGCCATATATAAAAGCGAAGGCCTACATAGGCCCTATATATGGCCTACATAAACTCTATATAAGCCCTATTGCAAACCCGGAAGCCGAAAGTTTTGGGGGTTTAGGGTTTAGGGTTTAGGGGTTTAGGGTTTAGGCCCTCCGAGCCCCGAGCGGCCTGACGGCAGCGACGCCAGCAAGACGGGCAGGCCGAAGCCCTTTCAGAAACTTGCGGCGGGTTTAGGTTTAGGGTTTAGGGTTTAGGGTTAGGGCTTGGGGTTCAGGATTGGGGTTTAGGGTTTGGGGTCTGGGGTTTGGAGTTTACGGCTTGGGGGGGCAGGGAGGGGGGGGGGGGGTCGTTTTCCGGCCTCGGACGGCTTCTGGGAGTGGGGAAGGGGTGGGGGTCATTGATTTGGCGGCTCACGAAAGGGAGCCTTCCCCTGCCTGTCACCGGGACTTTCTTTGGAGGACCCCAAGCCAGCAAAAATAGTAGGGTTGAGGGTTCCCCAAACCTCAAAGTACGCAAAATGACGGCCTTGTTGTTAGGTTGCGGGCTACCTTTTTTGCATACTTTCGGGGGGGGGGGGGGGTTAGCCACTTTAGGCATGTTTTCTGCCCTGTAAAGGTCAGGTGACAGGGCGGCGCGCATGCCCGTCGACGTGCAAGTTCGACTCCTCTACTGCTAGGTCTCCCAAATCTGGTCCCTTTGGGGGGTTTGGTCTCCTTAGTATGGTCCCTTCCGAAGTTCAGGGCTTAGGGTTTAGGGTTTAGGGTTTAGGGTTTAGGGTTTAGGGTTTAGGGTTTAGGGTTTAGGGTTTAGGGTTTAGGGTTTAGGGTTTAGGGTTAGTGCGCTCCATTTTTGGCACCACCGTTGGGATTGAACCACATGTACCTTGCGCACCATCGCTGCCCCTCAGGGCCTCGCCAGCAGAACTCCGCTGCTCGACTCGGTGCTTGCAGGGTTTCGGGCGACTCGGGTAAGGCTTCGGGTTTAGGGTTTAGGCTTTAGGGTTTAGGATTTAGGGTTTAGGGTTTCGAGCCTCGTGTGGCCGCTTGCAAACATGATCTTGCCGTAAACCGTAAACCCTAAACCCTGAACCCTAAACCCCAAACACTGAACCCCGTAAACCCCTAGATCCTAAACTCAGCAAAACAAGAGCCCCTGGAGTGCTAGTTGGGCGGTGGAGGGGTGGAAGACACCGCTGGTTTTTGTTAGGGCTTGCAGGGCTTTAAGGGTCTTAGGGCTTGCAGGACTTTATGGGGTTTAGGGCTTCCGGCCTTTGTAGACCTTTAAGGATCGTAGGGCTTGTAGGGCCCTAACGGGGTTTAGCATCAGGCCTTTGTAGGACCTACGAGAACGATCAGAGCTTTAGGGCTTGTGTGTTCTAGGGCTGGAGGTCGTGGCCTCAGTTTCGAGCATAAGCCTAAACCCTGAACCCTGAACCCTAAACCCTCAACCCTAAACCCTAAACCCCCATCCCCTAAACCCTAAACCCTAAGCCCTAACAAAAACAGCTATGGTCTGGGGAATCTACAGCGATCCGTGAGGCCCTGCATAGAGCTAAGAAACCCGAAGCCGTCAACCCTCCAAACCCTAAAAGCCCTAAACCCTAAACCCTAAATCCTAAACCCTAAATCCTAAACCCTAAAAGCCCTAAACCCTAAATCCTAAACCCTAAATCCCAAACCCTAAATCCTTAACCCTAAATCCTAAACCCTAAAAGCCCTAAACCCCACCTGAACATTTCTGAACCCCCCGGACCCTTGAAGCCCGAAACGCCCTAAACACAAAACCCTGAAAATACTAAACAAGCGCCCTAAACCCCCCCAAAACCCTGAACCACACAAGTCCTAAACCCTAAACCCTAAACCCTGAACGCCCTAAACACCCTAAACCTAAACTCTAAACACCCCTAAACCCAGAGCATCCTGAACCCTGCAAGCCTAAGCACCCAAAAACCCTTAAAAACCCTAAAAACCCTAAAGCCCTAAGGCCCTCAACACCATAAACCCTTAACAAGCCTTCATCTACTAATTGCTTACGAACCCCGAAAACAATGGAACATATTCTTCCTTATTGAGGGTAATATAGGGATTGCTTTTTTTGTTGTATTCTTTTGTGGGTCTTCAACAAATAGTAGTCATGATCAACATCAACACCCTCAACCCCAAACCCTTTGTGCTGCCTTTTTTTGGGCCCCAAACCCCGAAACCCTGAACCCTAAACCCTAAACCCTAAACCCCAAACCCCAAACCCTAAACCCTAAACCCTAAACCCTTTCTTTTGGGCCCCAAGGCAGACGGCTCCTCTCTGGCGACGTGCCGCCACCATCGAAGTTGGTGGCGGCTCTGGAGATGCAGGCTACTCCTTTGTAGGGGTTTAGGGTTTAGGGTTTAGGGTTTAGGATTTAGGGTTTAGGGTTTAGGGTTTGGGGTTTGGGGTTTGGGGTTTAGGGCTTAGGGCCGTTTTAGGGGCAGGGTTTACAGGGATTGAAAGGTTGAAGATTCCGGGTTCCGAAGGGCTTAGAGGTCTCTATAGAGGTTATTCAGGGTTACACGGGCTTCAGAGGGCTGTGTGGTCGTAGGTCTGCATTGCGGGGCTCTTTAGCTTGTAGGGTTTAGAATTTAGGGGAAGAGCCCCCCCCCCCCCCCCGCCCCCAACATCATTCTCCCTCATTTGCGCGGTGCCAGCCTATGGTGTCAGGTGCCCGCCGCCAAGCAGGCCGCTTCTCGCGAGGGAAGAGGGAAGAGGGAAGAGGGAAGAGGGTTCAGGGTTTAGGGTTTGAGGGTTAGGGATTAGGGTTTAGGGTTTAGGGTTGAGGGTTGAGGGTTGAGGGTTGAGGGTTGAGGGTTGAGGGTTGAGGGTTAAGTTGAGGGTTTAGGGTTCAGGGTTTAGGGTTTAGGTCGCAAAGTTGGGAGGTTGAGTCGCTGGGTTCATGGGTTTTCGTCGCCCGAAGTCAAACTAGGTACTGCTTTGGAGGTTCATGGTACTTATTAACAAATTGTAGCTGTACTTGCAACTGTACTTATAGCCATGTTGGGGCACTTATATGTGGCTTATGAGTGGGTGATAGGCAGCTATACTTGGTTAGCACCAATGCTTCAGGCAGTGGAAGCTTTGGATGCCCATAAAGTCCTCTTCTTCAAGAGCGTCGAGAAGGCAGCTGGGATATGGGTGCGCTGGGGGTTTGGGCTTGTGAGGCTTCCGGCGGGTTTCAGAACATGTCGGGGGCTGTTCTACGTGGTTGCAGGGGCCCTAAACCTCGAATTTTGTGTATTGTGCAAAATCTCTTATAGAGTTTATACTATGCAAGCTTTAATCTTAAACCCCAATCCGATTCCTTTTGCATACGTTTTCTGTTTGGGACACAAAGCCTCCATCGCGAATCCGCCCTCAACTCCCTCAATGGCGGAGCTGCTTTGTCTTGTTGCCTAGTCAACCTCACATAGGCCATTCTGTTGGCGACCACTTCCTGCTGAGATGTTTCGATTCCGAAACTTGTACTCCGTAGCCTATGTCTCAGCACCCTAAACTCTCTAAACCCCCTAAACCCTAAACCCTAAACCCTAAACCCTAAACTCTCTAAACCCTTGATGCCAATGGAATAAATAAAGGCTACTGAAGGGAGGGGTGTTCAAACGGGCTTTGTAACCCAAGAATCCCTAGCACTCCCCACGACTCCCTATATAAAGGCTCCCCAAGCTTCCCCACGGTTCCCTCGGAACCTGCCCGCTATGAAGCCTAAGCACTAACCTAAACCCTAAATACTAAACCCTAAACCCTAAACGCTAATTTGAGGACCCTATAATTAGATGAGTCCCAAGCCGTACCTCAGGCAAAGGAGTTCAAGGAGAAGTTCTCCATCGACATGAAAGCTCTCCGGCGCTCATTTCTGGCAGCGCAGGACCTCTGGGTTTGAGGACTCCCTCTTTTGCGGGTTTAGGGTTTAGGGTTTAGGGGTTAGGGGTTAGGGGTTAGGGGTTGGGGTTTAGGGTTCTTGGTCGCCCAGTGGCACCCTTTACCCTTTTGGGTTCTGGGGTCCCTTTCAACCCAAAACACAGTGCCCTCATTGTAATATGGTTACTGGGCTACCAAGTAGGCTTGCAAGGCTTACAAGGCAAGCCCTTAGGATTCAGGTGCATCTATTCAGGGGTTTAGGGGGTTTGGGGTTTAGGGTTTAGGGTTTAGGACTTGTTTCACAGGACGTTACGGTGCAGCCTTGGTTAATGCTGGTCAATGCTGGGCCGGTGTTCGCGAGCCCAGATCACATAAACTTGACATAAACCTTACGGTAGATCTGTGCAACAAGAGCCGGTCGAATCTGAAAGTTCGTCGGCAAAATCGGCCGCCACACTCGAGGACACGGTTGCTGTCGCCCAGCGAGATATGGCTATGACTAGTGAAGTTCCTGCATGCCTTCCCCGCACGGCGTTAAGATCTCAATGCTGCTGCCTACATGCAACCTAAGCCCGCCCCCTTATACTAACAGTCCTTCAAAGGTTGATACCAAACCATACTATGATCCCTATTAAGGACTGTTCGTATAAGGGGGAACATCCCAACCTAGGACCCGCAAGGCCCGAACACCTTCACCTCTAAACCCATTCTGCATCGCCATCCATCTCAGGGTTCTCTCTCCATGGGAGGGAAGGATGACCTTGTTGAAATTCCAGGTACGCCCCAAGCACATATATACTCTATACCCTAGGCCCTTCAAGCCCTATAGAAGACCCTAAATTCCCAAGCCCTAGGGTAAGAAGGGTAGGCATTTATTTATTTTTTGTTTTAGGGTTTGGGTTTCCTGATAAGCCCCTTTTTAAACCAAAAAGAGGGTACCCTTTTTTTTATTTCTAGAGGTGACTCCTTGCGTCTTAGAAACCCTAACCCTTCGGCTCAAAATAGCCCAAAAACCCTTAAACAAGAGTTCTTGAAACCCGAAACCCTAAACCCTAAACCCTAAACCCTAAACCCTAAACCCCAAGCCCTAAACCCTAAACCCTAAACCCTGAGCAGGAGGCTGCGGAGACCGAGGGTCCGCCATCGCCCGCCGCCACGGCCCCCCCGGCCGCGGCATCCCCAAAGGCATCCCCCAAGGCTTCAACGGCGAAGGCAAGCTGCGGTTTAGGGTTTAGGGTTTAGGGTTTGGGAGTTTGGGGTTTAGGGTTTAGGGTTTGGGGTTTAGGGTTGAGGGTTTAGGGTTTAGGGTTTAGGGTTCAGGGTTTAGGGTTTAGGGTTTGGGGTTAGGGTTTAGGGTTTGGGGTTTGGGGTTTAGGGTTTCCATACTTGGAAATTATTGACTTGGTAAGTCTACTTGGTATTCCCTAGAAGCCCTGTCTTAGAATCCCCATAACCCACCTTGCTAACCCTACTTACGAATGAATTCGGTTTAATTTCAGGTGTGTGTGACCCCAAATCCTCAACCCTAAACCCTAAACCCTAAACCCTGAACCCTAAACCCTAACACAAGCCTAAGAAGAAGTACCGGATGGAGGCACCAGCGCCCGCTCCTGCCGCACCAGAGAAGCGCCCCGAGGTGTGGAATCAACTGGCTGGTCTGCTTTGTTGGTGCAGGGTTTAGGGTTAGGTGTTTAAGGTTTAGGGTTTAGGGTTTAGGGTTTAGGGTTTAGGGTTTAGGGTTTAGGGTTTAGGGTTTAGGGTTTAGGGTTAGGGTTTAGGGTTTATGGTTTAGGGTTTAGTCTTGGGGCCGTTTTAGACGGTTGAAGGCTGTGGGTCGAGAGTTGGCACGAGGTGCTTGGCTATTGAGTTGGCTATTGAGGGGGTTGGGGCAAGACGTAGAGCTCGTCGTCGTCGTCGTCCTGGGGTTTCGGCCAGCAAAGACCCCCAGCGCATGCTTAGCATTTGCTGATATTCTGTCAGATCTTACATGAACACAGACCAGCACACATGGCCTCTGCAGTGTCCAATCAACTTGTGAGAGAAAGAAGGAGGAACATTAAAAAAGGAAGAGAAAAGAACAAGCAGTTCAGACTCGTATTTCTGTCACGCGTGCGGTCGGTCGTCTGCATACCCTACACCCTGAACCCTGGACCCTAAACCCTAAACCCTAAACCCTAAACCCTAAACCCTAAACCCTAAACCCTAAACCCTAAACCTAAAGGTAAAAAATACCAGAGCATGGGCTCCAGGCACTTTCAAGCGCCCAACAAATCTCCTCATTCACGGCCGAAGGGTTTGGGGTTTAGGGTTTAGGGTTTAGGGTTTAGGGTTTAGGGTTGACTCAGTGAGTTTCCCGCACTGCCCTCTACGTCCCACACTTCCGGGCCCAACATTGGGCATAAATTCCCCAAGGGTCCCAAGGGTCCCTTTACCTACCTCTCTCCCTCCCCAGATCTTCCAAAAGCCCCATAATTAAGGAATATACCCTAATTTATACGAAGGATCCTTATTATGAAATAGGGTATAGTCCTTAATTAAGGGGTTTTGGAAGATCTGGGTCTCTATCTATCTGTGTACTTATACGTAGTATTACGTTGGCCTTTGAGTTATCGTATAGAAACCACTTTTAAGGCCCAAGATTTGAAGTCGCAGGGCCCCCAACTGCCCCCCCTAGATTACCCCCCCAGGTTTTTTGCATAATTGAGGCGATTTAGGGATAATTAAGCCTCATGAAGTCATTTAAAGTAGAGGGCCCCCAACCTTCATGCCCTTCATGGCATGCTCTATGACCATGGTTTAGGGTTTAGGGTTTAGGGTTTAGGGTTTCGGGTTTAGGGTTTAGGGAAGGTAAGGGTAAGGGACCGTAGTCAGGGTCCATTCAAACGAACTGTAGACTTCTGCTGCCGAAGCAGCGTTCGATCTGTAAGGGGTCAGTCCCCTCCGTCCCTGCTGGGCGTGATCTGCCCTTACACCCGAAACCCTTAACACACGAGGCAACGCTTGGTTGCGGCGACATCTCCATGCTCTTCAACCCTTAGGCTCAAAATAGTCCAGAAACCTGACATAATAAGGCCTTTGGGCCCCAAAACCCTAATATCTGAGAATCTTTGGAGCCGTCAGGGCAAGGTTTGGACGCCCCAGCAAAATCCCTGTGCTCTCGAACCCTAAACCCTAGCCCTAAACCCCAAACCCCAAAACCCCAAACCCTAAACCCTAAACCCTAAACCGATCAGGCAGGGGGAGAGTCGCCCCGGCGCCGGAGGTCCTCCAGGGTCCAGGCTGCCACGGCCCATCCTGGTTATAGGGTTGGGTTTAGGGTTTAGGGTTTGGGGTTTAAGGTTGGGTTTGGGGTTTAGGGTTTAGGGTTTACGGTTTAGGGTTTAGGGTTTAGGGTTTAGGGTTTAGGGTTTAGGGTTTAGGGTTTAGGGTTTAGGGTTTAGGGTTTAGGGTTTAGGGTTTAGGCTTACGGTTTAGGGCTCAGGGCTCAGGGCTTAGGGCTTAGGGCTTAGGGTTTAGGGTTAGGGTTTAGGGTTTAAAGTTTAGGGTTCAGGGTTTAGGGTTTCGGCTTTAGGGTGTAGGCTTAGGTTGCGTTCAACTGCCGAAAACAAGAAAGCCCGAAGCACCTACAACTCTTAAAACCTGTAGACCTTAAAGCCCCAATCCTCCAGAGCCTAAAGCCCTGAAGAGCCTAAACCGCAATAAAACCCTAAAGCCCTCAACCCTTAAGCCCCGAAAGGCAAAACCCCAACATTCAACCCCAAAGCCTAAACCCTCAACCCCAAGGCCCGAACACTAAACCCTAAACCGTGAACCCTAAACCCCTAAACCCCTAAACCCGAAACCCTAAACCCTAAACCCTAACCCTTAAACACCCTCACTGACTCTGCGCAGGTGCGGCCGCGCGGCCCCTCCGAGGCCCAGCCTGCAGCCGCCCCAGCGCCACGCAGCGCGGTGGCGGAGCAGGCGAAGGGTTCCGTTCAGGGTTTAGGGTTTGGGCTTTAGGGTTTAGGGTTTAGGGTTTAGGGTTTAGGGTCTAGGGTTTAGGGCGTCTTCTTATGCGCCGCGGGCTGAACATCCTTGCAAGGTCTGCCGATTCGAGGTTCAGGGTTGACAGGGTGATACCTGAAGAACAAGACTGATTTGAACCACTGTTCAATTTAGGAATAGGGTTTTGGGGGTTGTTATAGTACATTCATAAAGGGACCATATTGGAAAACCATGAGTAATTCTTCCGACCCCTATATGACGTGGCTAGTGTTGCTGCAGCTTAACGTAGCCTTTGAAAGTAATTCAGTTTAGCTTTTTTAAATAAAACATGACAGTATATACATATATATATAGCTGGATTTATATTTGTTTTTGTTTCTATTTATTTATTTTTGTTTTCATTTCTATTTGTTTGTTTGTTTGTTTATATTTTACATACATCAAATGTGGCCAGAGCCTGTTTTCATGGCCAGGACATGCTTGGCTTCCTGGCATTCAGGTGAGCTGGCGCTCCCACCCCTGCGCATGAGGCCACTGCCCAGGCCGGGAAACTTGGTCCCCAGATGACTTGGAAGATGTTGCTTGGGATGTTCCCCCTTGTGCTAACATGTCCTTAGTAGGGATTCTAAGAGGGGGCACTTTAATCCCCACTAAGGACTGTTAGTATAAGGGTCAACATCCCAAGTGACAGGAGTGCTCATAAACCCCTGGCACCCACGGCGCCACGATGTGGGACGAGTTCCTACGCCGCGGAATGTCATGCGACTGCTGCAAGGCACAGCAGTTCATCCCAAGCGACCGCAAGCCCCTTGGTGTACCCTAAACCCTAAACCCCTAAATCTCTGAAGGATGCATCGGACAGCAGCGTCATCCGTGACGTCTTCACCGGAAGAAAAGCATCCTAAACCTGGAATGCTCGGTTTGTATCTGCCCCTGGGTGTGCCACGATGTGTGAGAGAAAGGGCATCCCAGAGTTTGAGTACATGAAACCAATGCTTGTGCAGCAGTATAGTACCGTTGCAGTAGCACATAGTCAGATAGCAGGAGTTCTTTCTAGGCCGGCCAAAATTGAGGCTCCTTATCAGGAAGATCTGGTGTATGAGGGTACCTTGTTAGGCCCTCATGTTCCCTTGTTTTAGGGTTTTTGTTCCCTTCTAAGCCCCTTTAGACCAAATTGGGCGCCCTTCTTATTCCTAGGTTGCTCTTGTGTCTCGAATCTTATGCTTCCCTATGACCCCAAGAAGTGGATTCCCTTACAAGACGGACCGCAATAAGGTATCCCTAATTTCGGAAGCCTCCACACCCTTCTTAGTTCTTGCCCTAAGCCCTTTGAGCCCTACACCCAAATTCTGTCAGCCCAAGGCCCTTAAGGAACCAAAGGCCCGAAGGCGCCAAGCCCCAAGCCCTGCCACCAAAGAAAGCGAACCCTGAAGCCCTAAACCAGAATCATTGGGTTTAGGGTTGAGGGTTTAGGGTAAACCCCTCTCAACCCTAAGCCCTAAGCCCTAAACCCTATAGGTTTAGGGTTTAGGGTTTAGGGTTTAGGGTTTAGGGTTTAGGGTTTAGGGTTTAGGGTTTAGGGTTTAGGGTTTAGGGTTTAGGGAACCCTAAATTCTGATCCCCAAACCACTCCGGCAGGCCTCCGCCCCTGCGCCAGCTGCCGAGCCTGTCGCAGGCAGCGGCGCCCAGGAAACCGCCAACCAGCCTGCGAAGGAGGAGACGCCTTTTATCGTTTAGGGGATGAGTGTTTCGGGGTTTAGGGTTTAGGGTTAGGGGTAAGGGGTTTAGGGGTTCAGGGGTTTAGGGTTTAGGGGTTGAGGGGTTTAGGGTTTAGGGGTTGAGGGTTTAGGGGTTGAGGGGTTTAGGGGTTTAGGGGTTTAGGGGTTTAGGGGTTCAGGGGTTTAGGGTTTAGGGGTTTAGGGGTTTAGGGGTTTAGGGGTTTAGGGGTTTAGGGGTTTAGGGGTTTAGGGGTTTAGGGGTTTAGGGGTTTAGGGGTTTAGGGGTTAGGGGATTAGGGGTTCAGGGGTTCAGGGGTTCAGGGGTTCAGGGGTTGAGGGGTTCAGGGGTTGAGGGGTTTAGGGGTTTTAGGTGTTTCTAGTTGCTAGGGTTAGGGGATTTAAGGTTTAGCGGTTTGGGGTTTAGGGTCCCGCATGCCCTCGCCCCCTGAAGACTGGGTTCGTCTTTGGCCATATCTTGGTCAGTTATCAAAATGACGGTCTTATGGGGTTACTATTCAAAGGCGGCTCTAATATTTGGGAATGTTTAGGTGAGGGGTAGCCCAAAAAGGGAACCATAATTTTGTGAAATGACCAAACATGTATCTCCAGTGCGCATTGGCATTCAGGGTTTTTTCAGTACCCTGGGTCGGGCCAAGCTAAGGTTTTTGGGTTTTAGGGTTTAAGTTGAGGCTTGAGGATGCTATGAGGTATCAGGTTTCTTAGATGGCTTAGGGTTTTACCGTTTCGTGTTTAGGGTTTAGACTGATATTATGGAGCTTCTTGTTCCATTTTCTGGCTGAGTGGGCTCCAGAGATTTGTGCGTCCTAAACCCTAAACCCTAAACCCTAAACCCTAAACCCTAAACCCTAAACCCTAAACCCTAAACCCTAAACCCTAAAACCCTAAACCCTAAACCCTAAACCCTAAACCCTAAACCCTAAACCTGGCTCGAAACCATTCAGCATGGCTCCTGCCGGGCTCCAGGGGCAAGCTTAAAGGGTTCTTAAGGGAGGGGGGTTCAAGGGGGGTAGGCCTAGTACTCCCTAAGTCCCTAGGTCCTACCCCCGCCTTGAACCCCCTCCTTTAAGAACCCTATAACTAGCGTGTGGCAGACGGAGAGATGTGCTTCCTGCAGCCCCACGCACCCTATTAGTCCTAAGCACCAAGAAACGACTGTAAGGACGAACCCCTATGACCCACCCTAGAACCCAATGAGTCACAAAGCCCCTCAGCCGCATTCCGATTCTGACCATTTCGGCTTGTGCCCGAAGGTCTTCGCAGCCTGCAGAACCTTCACAAGCCTCTATGCCCGAAACCCTAGCCCTAAACCCTAAACCCTAAACCCTAAACCCTAAACCCTAAACCCTAAGCCTTAGACCCTAGACCCTAGATTCTAAACCCTAAACCCTAAACCCTAAACCTCAAACCCTAAACCCTAAACCCTAAAGCCCTGAACTCCAGGGCCCATGAATTCCGTAGCCTATGAGGGGTTACGGTTTCGGCCCTAGGGTTTAAATTGCCCTGAGAGTTCTTCCTAACGTGAGCATCAGTGGAATATCGCCCTGATGAATGGAGACTGCCCAAAAAGCACCATGCTAGCTAAATCTTAACCCGGAGACCCTCACGTCCTGTTTTTTCCTGGAATCTACGCCGACCGACGTTGCCCTCACTTGTTGAAAAGACACGCCAGAACCCCTTTTCACGCATGCCAGCCGCAAAAAAACCGTTCTAGTCAAAAACTTCCCTCTGTATTCGACCGGTTGAGCTCCCGCCCCCGAGCCATGTTCGATGGCTGCATGGTGTATCTGCTCCCTGGGCGGGAGATGACGCGAGTACGGCAGAACGTGCTTCGAGGCGCGCGCCCGTACTATATCTACATTTGTACATTTTATTTGTGTATTTATTTTTAAAAGCTGGTACAGGGATTGAAAGCATGTCCCTGAAGTACTTCTACCTGCTGAGGTTATTTCTTGTTTCTGACACGCCAGGCTGGGATGTTCCCCCCTTATACCAAACAGTCCTTAATAGGGATTACCCAAAGGCTCCTATGTAGTAGCTCTTTGGGGGTAGTATACTAGAATCCCCTATACCTAACCCAAAAAGGAACTACATTAGAGCCTTTGGGTAGAGTAACCCCCTATGATAATCGGGCTGCTAGTAATTCTTAGTAGAGGGGGGAACATCCCAACCGCGAGGCATTGTGCGAGATCATGGTGGGGCCATCGCCGAGGACGACCCCGCGTCTAACCCCCAGTCCCTCCATTCTCTCGAGACCCGAAACCCTAAACCCGAAACCCTAACCCTAGCCCTAAACCCTAAACCCTAAACCCTAGCCCTAAACCCTAAACCCCCTAAACCCCCTAAACCTTAAATCCTAAACCCTAAACTCAGGGCTTTCTAAGGAATGTAGGCTAGGATCCCTCAGACCTACCCTTTCTTCACCTTTTTTTCGAGACCGGTCCGTTACCCGTGGATAAGGCCCCATGAAAGAAATGAGGGTTCAGGGTCTAGGGTTAAGGGCTGCCCTGTTCCCAAATTCTGGGGGGGAGCCGGGTTTAGGGTTGAGGGTTGAAGGTTGTTTAGGTTCTGAGAGCAGATCTGGCGTCTCCACATCACAACCCTAAACCCTAAACCCTAAACCCCAAACCCTAAACCATAAGCCCTAAACCCTAAAGCATCGAGCCGAACTCACAAGACGGTTCAAGCGTACGAACCCTATCGACCTTAATATTGTCATATTATATGGTTGAAACACTGTAAAATTGAAATCATACAAAAAATATGTATATATATACTATAAATATGTGTATGTATATATATATATATATATGTATATGTCTACATGCATATATATATATATATGTATTTATTTATGAATTTTATACCGTCCTACTACGATATATTTCGATTTCCTATACTTGTGTGATTATATGCATCTACTACCCCTCCAGCCCCTCCCCAGAAACTCCGGAGTGCGAAGCCCTACATGGGCACTTCCCAAAGATCGGGGCACGCCTTCTACACGCCAAAATTAGCTCGGCCATGGAAACACAAAAGAAAGGTACCCCCCCCCCCCCCCCCCCCCCCCCACTTTTAGGAGGCTCCTACATGCAAGCTCTACAAGTCCCGAAACACTTCGACAGCCTTTCCCCACCCTTGTAGGGGCTCACAGGCACCTGGAAGCTCTTGCATAAACCCTAAACCCTAAACCCTAAACCCTAAACCCTAAACCCTAAACCCTAAACCCTAAACCCTAAACAAGCTCTCCCAAAGGCTCCTATGTAGTACCTTTTTGGGGTAGTATACCAGAATTCCCTCTACCTAATCCACAAAGGAACTACATTGGAGCCTTTGGGAGAAGCCTGAAAACCCTAAACCCTAAACCCTAAACCTAAACCCTAAACCCTAAACCCTAAACCCTAAACCCTAAACCCTAAACCCTAAACCCTAAACCCAAATGAAACAGGAGCTGACCACCGGCGTTAGCCACGTCGTGGCCGGAGCGCCGCCCAGCGCAGCGATTCCGGTGGAGGCGTCGGGGAGCCTGCGTGTTTAGGGTTTAGGGTTTAGGGTTTGGGGTTTAGGGTTTAGGGTTTAGGGTTCAGGGCAGCTTCGTGATAGAGGGTTGTGGAATTATATAGGATCGGTTACGCTTTTTGGGGCTTTCGTAAATTTAGGGCTCGAGGTTGTTTTAGGGATTTCCGAGGGTTCAGAGTGCAGGTCTTGAAGGGCTCATCTGAGGTTTCGGGTTGGGCCACAGCCACCGTCCCAAAGGTCTGCCGGAT